CTATAGCAAGGCGTGCTGCCGGTCCTGCAGGCCCCCCCACTCCTAGCCTGGCAGCTGCTGCCTGAGAGACCCGAGCGCCCCGCCCCTGGGGCCCCCATGGACACCCTCCCTGCAGGGCGCCCGGGGCTGTGAAGACGTGACACTGAGCCTCTGCTCTCCCCGGGAAGGAGAGCCCCCCAGCGCCTGTCGGCCTCCCCAGACAGAGCCACCCCTGCTGCAGGCAGTTGTTCTTAGAGCCTGAGCCTGGTGTGTCTGTGGTTGCTGCCCCCAGCACCCAGCCCAGCACCCAGCTGCCCAGGGCCCAGAGCCCAGAGCCCAGAGGTGAAGGTAACCAGCCACCTGCCCCGGAGACCCTTCCCTTCTCTGGGCGGCCTGGGAAGGTCCCGCCTGCCTCAGGGCGGATGGTGGAGGGGGCGTAGGGCAGGCAGGAAGATGCGGGTGCTGCCTCGGGTCCTGGGCCACTTAGGTGTCCTCCTTCCAGAGGAACGTTATCTCCCATCTTAGCACCCGGCGCTTCCCTTACACCAAGCTCACGCACGGAGGGACCCACCGCACTTTACGCCCGGGAAGGGGCACTCCTCACGGCATCCCCGTTGTCGTCTCCGTCAGTACTCTGTATGTTAATAAAGAGGTTGTATTTATGGCCGCATCGTGGGCTCTCAGTGCTCTGGCTGGGGGGCTGTGAGAGTCGGGGGGGGCCGTCCAGCTCCCTGCTTCAGGGAGATTTGCTGAGGCCTCGGGTCTGGGAACAGGGCTGGGGCTGGAGCTGCGGGCTCCCCGAGGAATGACAGGTGGCAGAGTGGGGAGCCCGCAGGCAGGAGCGTTCAGGGGGCACCAGGACTCGATGCTGGAGTCAGAACTGAGTCAAATTCTTGAGGCTACCAATGGTGGGGACCTGGGAGTGGGAGACCTGGGGCGCCTGGAGGGTCCTAGTAAAACATGGGGGCCTGTGAGGACCAAGGGGGAGCTTAGAGGGCCCTTGGGGGATGCTGGCGAAAATTCCATAATTTAAACCTCGGGAGAAAGCACCCACTCAGGATGTGCTGGGCAGAGGGAGGAGATGAGACGTGCGGGTAGGGACCCACATTGAGAGCTCAGGAAACATCCATCATTACCATTTCGAGACCTCATAGAAGGACTCATCTGGACTTGGGGCGCAGGGACACAGGAGGGCTTCCCGGAGGAGGTTCTGTTTAGGCTGGTCCAACAGCAGGAGTGGCTCTCCCAGACGAAAGGGTGGGGAGGAGTGTGGAAAAGGGAACAGCCTGTACAAAGAGGAGAGCCTGGGGGTGTCCGGGACGCTGAAAGCAACGTGGGACCAGGCAGGGCGAGGATGCCACAGCGGCGTCTCCTTTGGGGACAGGTAATGGGATGGCAAGTGGCTGCTCCCCTGGGATGCAGGGCCAGCCTGTCCCCAAACTGAGGCCAGAGCAGGGGCCCCGCAGTGTTTAGGATGGTGTGACTGAGTGACACTGGAGGCCTGTGTGGTGGGCTTGCTCAAGGTCACTGGCTGAGGTGAGTCACCGTAACCCAGTGTCCCCACCATCGTGCCCTGCCATTGACCCCTGCTCTTCACCCCACTCTCCACCCCCATCTCCTCTCCTGTGTCCTTTCGGCCAACACTTATCGTGCGCCCACAAATGCCTGTGCCCAGGCTCTGTGCCCAGTTTGCCAGCTCCGTGTCGTCCCCTCCTAAAAGCTGCATTAGTCTTTGTCATGATCACCCCTCTGTGCGGATGCCAAGACCGAGACCCAGAGATGTCAGTCACTTGCCCCAGGTGACCAGCCCGTCCCCCGCAACCGCTCTCCAGGAGCTCAGAATTTACATCAATGGTCCCCAGTCTCTGAAGATGGACACGGCACCCGGGGAAACTCAAAGATGAACGTGGCTCGCTGTGGCCACCCCTCCGGGCAGGGAGCCCTGACCCCACGGGCTGGACAGGAGAAGGCGGGCTCCGCCTGGCACCGGGCTGCACACAGCTCTTCCCAGAAGGTGCAGAGAGGGTCGGGGCTGCAGACAGCGGTGCGGTGTGCTGAAGACGCATTTATTGGCTTCCTGCTGTGCCCGGGGAGCGGGCAGGCCCCGCAGGCCCCGCAGTGGGCCTGAGTGAACGCGCATGGGTGGTGCTTCTCTCATTTCAAACTGATCTATGAATCTACACAGAGGACAGGGATTAGCAAAGGAAAGAGGAAAATGGAACGTAACGGCCCCGGGAAGTGCCACCTCCTGGCCC